TACTGATGGTGGTGGTGAGAAGTCGTGGGATTCTGGATACATTTTGAAAGTAGAACTGACAATGTAGATCAGATGTGGAGAATTGCTGGTGGAGGTGGGTCCAGATGTGGAGTATACTGTATGTCCAGAGAAATCTTCATAGAAGAAGAGGGCTCAGGTGCAGAAGGAGTTTAAAAGGGGTCTTGAAAAGTGGCATGAAATGATGATTTTTATCGGAAATAAAGCACTATGAAGTATACAGCACTTAAAATAGAGTTATGTTCTGACTGTAGTCCTCAAAGATATGCCAGGAGTCCATTCCTTGAAGAAAAAGTGTTGATTTGTCTGAGACAAACTCTGTCCACTGATAACACTTGACCCTGGGAGGCATAAATATTTGTAATAGCTTTTACATTGGTGAAAATATGTTTTATATGTTGAACATATTCATTAATTACTAGAATTCCATTCATATGTGCATGCTTTCTGGGAGACAAATTAGAAGTCCTGCACACTGTGTTTCAGCTCAGTTGACTTTGATACAAGAATCACTGTGTTAAATATTGCCCAGTCTTTTCAGTGATAGAATTCTCTCTATATTCTTACTGTGAAAGTTAATAAAATTTACTGGTATTTTATGTGTATATTGCATAGGTATATACTGTTTTGGTTTTTCCTTTTAGGTTCCTGAAAATGGTACAAGATTTAATAAAATTAAAATTACACATGACCTGTGGAGCACAGTCATCTGAGTGCCTGTTTGGTGTAGGGCAGTGTAGAAGATCCATAAGACATGGTCCATGTACTGAAGGGATTTTTAATGTGGTAGGAGCACCAGAGATTTGATGGCACATCTAAAGGACTCCAATGTAGTATTTTGACTCTTGCCAGGAAGTAGAATTCTTATGCTTTAGCTTATTTTATCAGTGAACTTTCCTTGCTTTGGTTTAAAAACCACGGAATATGGTTATCATACCCACCAAACATTGGGAGAATTTAAAACAAGATAAAATACCTATTTTTGAAAATTAACATTTGTGTAGTGCTTTACTCATTTAATCCTGTGAACTAGGTATTACCTCAGTTTTATTTTTAACTATTTATTTGTTTGGCTGGGTCTTAGTTACGGCCCGCAGGATCTTTTTTTTTTTTTTTTTAGGGGTATGTAGGACTCTCACTGTTGTGGCGTCTCCCATTGCGGAGCACAGGCTCCGGACGCGCAGGCTCAGCGGCCATGGCTCACGGGCCCTCCCGCTCCGCGGCATGTGGGATCTTCCTGGACCAGGGCACGAACCCGTGTTCCCTGCATCGGCAGGTGGACTCTCAACCACTGCGCCACCAGGGAAGCCCCCGCACAATCTTCATTGCCGCATGCGGGATCTTTTAGTTGCGGCATGCGAGCTCTTAGTTATGGCATGCGGGATCTAGTTCCCTGACCAGGGATCGAACCCGGGCCCCCTGCATTGGGAGCGCAGAGTCTTAACCACTGGACCACCAGGGAAGTGCCTTACCTCAGTTTTAGAGGGGACACAAAAATGTAGCAATACCCAAGGTCACAGAAAAATCTAAATATATATATATATCCTGGGTCCTCAGCAGTGAAAGCGCAGAGTCCTAACCACTGGACTATCAGGGAATTCCCTAAATCTAAATATATTTCTTAATTGTTCTTAGTGATGCTGGTCCTTTGTTTCCAAATCCTATACCCTTTCTATTACATGTTCTCTCTCCCCCCTCCCCACTTTTATTAATGGTTGGAAACATCCTGTTTCTTAGTTGGGTTAAAGGAAGTGAGTTAGATCACAGCTGTTATTCAGAAAGAAAAATCCTTTGGCACATATGAAAATATTAATTCATTGTCCATGGAAGTAATAGTGGAGTTCATGGGCTTCTGATGTGCTCAAGCGCTGTCATTAATATTTTATCCTTATAACAGTTTTTTTCCTTTGCAGAGTTTTGGAGTTAAAAAAAATTTTTGCTAGTAAATATTTAAAATAGTCAAGATAATACAATGTATATGTAAATATAAAGAATAATATAAAACAACTCTGTAACTGCCACCCATTCTGACATATAGAAATGACCCATACCCTCTGAGTCTTTCTGCTTACACCTTTCCCCCGCTAAGTCAGGTAACAAGAATATTGAATTTTGCATTTTTCCAAGGTGTCTTTAATATAAATATCTTTCATTTAGGAATTAAAATCTTTTAAATATTGTGGGTAAATTTCATCTTGTTTGACATAATTTATATAAATGGCTCTTTAAAATTATATTTTGATTTACTTATTTATGTTAAAGATATTTTTGTTGCCTGGAGGCAGTTATTTAAAAGGCAGTTTGGTATAGTGTATACAGAAGTAGAAATATAATGTTGTACACATGAAAGTTATCTAACGTTATATACCAATGTTACTTCAATAAAAAAGAAAAAAGGTTGTATCTTTCTTATCTTTCTTTGTATATCTAACACTTAATACACAGCAGATGTGGCCCAAAAATGTTTGTTAAATGAATTCATGCATCCATGTGCTGAGTGGAATGAATAATAGCTGGAAAGAAAAAAATAAAAATAAAAAGCAGCTTGGTTTTGAAGATGGAAGTTAGGAAAATTTATTAGTTTCAGAAGTTTCAAAGATCTGGGAGAAGGGTATATTGAGGAAGAGGAAAAGGATTTCGTGTGATTCAAGGAAGTTACTCACTGACATAGTGTTTCTTTTTCTTTACTAGAGAAAAGGGAACAAAGGAGTAGGATCTGAAAACTTGCCCTTTCTTAAATCGTTCTTGGCAGAATTGGTACTACCAGTGAGTAGCTAAAGATTTAATGAAATGAGGCTTAAAAGTTTTATGACAGCGGATTTCCTAAAGGTTAGAAAGTGTTTATTTTAACCGTGGTTTTGAGTGATGAAGTCTACTTCAGAGGTCATACCCTATATATTGTTATTGTCCTCATTGCTGAGCCACTGAAACCTGGAATCTGGTTCACAAAGTATGACACTAATTTCTGTTTTCTTGGTAGAGTTTGTGTGTGGTCTTTCATCTTTTAGAAACTATAATTCTCATAGTTCCTAGTTTCAGATGTTGTAAGGAGAGTTCTGAGCAGTGGCTGTGATACAGTTTTGGGGGGCAGTGGTCATAAATGTGCATTTACATGCACATATGTATGCATATGCATAGAAATGCCTTACCGTGTTTGCCTTGGTGATCGCCGCATATAGGGAGTATTTAATTGTTGGGTGACTGGGCTCAGGAACTAGACTCTCCAGACTTATATCCTGAATCGCCACTAGCTAGCTCTGTAGCCTTGGGTAAGTTACTTAACCTCTTTTTGATGATTTCTTTATAAAATGGGGATAATAAAACATCTGCCATATTGAGTGGTTGGGAGGATTAAACAGGTTTGTGCACAGAAAGTACTTAGAGCTCAGAGTAAGTGCTCCATGAATGTTGGCTATTATTTAAATCTTGTAGGTAGTGCCTTTTGTTTAGAAGTGTACTTCTTTGCTTAGGCTACCATTTGTGTGTGGGGAGATGTTCTTTCTAGAACCATGTCTCCTTGTCACATGATTATGTGCTGTGTGAGCCTTGTTAATACTCTGTCAGCATTTGAGGTTGGAACATAAGTGTGGCCATACCCCATGGAATCCAGTGAGAGAGAGCTAAGCACCGTAGCAACTGTTGCTATTTGTATCCTGAGCAACAGCTGCCCGGGGCAGATTTATTTTTTAATCCTGATCTCAGATAGCTTGGGATGTGGCCCTGCCTTAGAGAAGTGGATTGGTTGGTCTGGGCTTTGAGGCGATTTCATGACCACATGTTACAATGATTCTATTCTGTGTGAAATATGAGGTGCTAAAGCTTTGTGTGTGTGAGGGAGGAAGAGAGGCCAAGCCTCAGCATTCAGTCAGTCCCTGAAGTATGTGACTGGGTTAATCACATGAGAAATCACTTCTTAAAAACAATTTATTTTTTGGCCATGTCGTGTGGCATGCGGGATCTTAGTTCCCCGACCAGGGGTCGAACCCGTGCCCCTGCGGTGGAAGCATGGAGTCCTAACCACTGGACCACCAGGGAAGTCCTGAGAAATCACTTTTAATATGGACAGTGAGGCTTCATACTTTTCAGTCAAAAGTAATTTTATTGCTTATGACATTCTACGGATGATTTAGAGGTGTTTCTAGTGTATACATGCACACACATACATACACACGTATATACGTATATCTAATAACTTACGTATTACTTATTATCAATTGTGGATTTCACAAAAACTACATTACTAAATGCTTTTCTTTTTTTTTTTTTTTTTTTTTTTGTGGTACGCGGGCCTCTCACTGCTGTGGCCTCTCCCGTTGCGGAGCACAGGCTCCGGACGCGCAGGCTCAGCGGCCATGGCTCACGGGCCAGGCCGCTCCACGGCATGTGGATCTTCCCGGACCAGGGCACGAACCCATGTCCCCTGCATCGGCAGGTGGACTCTCAACCACTGTGCCACCAGGGAAGCCCCTAAATGCTTTTCTTAAGTAGATGATAGGATCTTTAAAAAGTGTTTGTTTTAAATAGTGGTTGGATTAATGCAATAATTTTCTAATTTTTATTTCTGATATATTGAAATATTTCAAGCCTTATGAAGCACCTTGAAATAGTTAACATGGTCCATTTCCAAATTTTGTCTGCTAACTTACCTAGGATTCAGTCACAAGACATTTACTGAGCACCTACTATGTTCCAAGCTCTGTTGTAAATTCTGGTGACATCTAGTGAATGTTGTTGGTCTGATTCTTTTCAAGTTCTCTATATAGATCCTACCTATTAAAAATGCAATTATTATTATTTTCAAGTTCTCTATATAGATCCTACCTATTAAAAATGTGATTATTTTTGTTTTTCAGTTGCCCAATTCAGATTCAGTGGTATGAATTTACTGATTTGGATGTTTTGAGTTTACAGTATAACATTATGCTGAACTAAAAAACATTTAACTGAGTCACTTATAAAATCAAAACATTTTCATCCTCTAGGTATTATTAACCCAAAGAACCCAAAGGAAGCTCCAAAGTCCTTCAGCTTTGACTACTCCTACTGGTCTCACACCTCGGTGAGTGTACCCATGGTGCAGTGTGGTAGAACAGTGTGGGTTTTAAACCTTTTGAAAGAGCCTGCAGGTCCATAGGGAAAGCAAAGATTACCAACATCTAGGGAAATGAAGAGTAAGACCCTTTGCAGTATCCCCTTACTGATTATAGGATCCCAAATCTTGCTGGCTTCTAGGGATTGTTCCTAAACTAGAGTTTGCTTCTGCATCTCTTTGTTATGCATGTTTTGTTCTAATTTTCCTATTTTGTGTTAGAGTAGGAGATGTTTTAAACTATTGCAAAGCCTAATTGCCAAGGGAAGAGCCTGTGAAAGGGGATGGAAAACATTCTTCACTGAAAGCTGTGTTTATTGAGAAATAGCCACACCACCTGGAGCAAATTAAAAGAAATATTTTTATATGTGGACTTGATCTTTGATCTTTCAGCCCCATTTTCCACTTAAAATTTTCTTGGAGCTCCCTGTGAATGGAAGAGTAATACTTTCAAGGTTATGTAAAATGAAATGTAATCATGTCAGATAATTTCATGTAGATATTTTTATGTATGGCTGGTCTGGATGTCTCTAATAGTGCCTCTGTGTGTGTGCATTTAATGGGAAAAATAAACTATATGTAGGGGGGGACTTAAAAATATATTTTAGGTGATTATTCTGATTTCAAACACTTTTATTTATTATTAGAAGTAATCAAATAAGCATAGGAAACAATATGAATAAAATGCCATTTATTTTTCCTTTTAATCCTTATAGCCCGAAGATCCCTGTTTTGCATCTCAAAACCGTGTGTACAATGATATTGGAAAGGAAATGCTCTTACATGCCTTTGAAGGATATAATGTCTGTATTTTTGCCTATGGGCAGACTGGTGCTGGGAAGTCTTATACAATGATGGGTAAACAAGAAGAAAGCCAGGCTGGCATCATTCCACAGGTAAAAAACAAAAAAACAAGAATGAAAAACCTCTGTTCATTATTACTCTTAGTCCTCAATTGCATTAACAATTATTTTTATTAGCAAACATTTATTCAGGGACTGTTGTATGCGAGGCATAAAGATAAATCCCTTTCCCTGAGAGGAGCTAACAGTCTGATGGAAAAGACTGATATGTATTCATGTCTGTTTTTAAAGGTGGGAAAGTTGACTTTTTGTAAAGGTTTTGCTGTATATCCAATGCCATGTTTATCTTTTGAACAATGTTATCAGCTTCTTTAAAAAGTGATAGTATGTGTCAGGCTCTGTTCTGAATCCTGGGGACACCTGGTGAGTGTTGTTGGTCTGATTTTTTTCCCCCAAGTTCATATATAGATCACATCTTAAGAATATGTTTATTTTTGTTTTTTGATTGCCTTATTTGATTGCCTTTCCTTTTATCTTGTTAAATTAATTCTATCACTTAAAGCTTGAACAGTCTGAGATTTTTTTTTCTTTTTTAAGAGCAGTTAGTTTTTTGATTCTGTATTGTTTGGGAATGGAGAAAAGTTGTGACACAGGTACATTTAAGAAGAACTTCTTTTGCTAGTAACAGGAACATGGTTTGCTTTTATTAATGATATTTAGGATTAATTTTTTTGGGGGGGGATTAATTTTAAAGTGTTCTTTTACTATAGGCCTAGTGTGGCCATTGCTGTATTCTGAAAATAAAATATATAAGGGAGCAATATCTACTTTTTTGAATGGATTATTGGATTATAATTTTAAATTCAGCTATATAATTGAAATGCTTATTAATAAAGATTAGGACATTTTCAGAAAAAAATGAACATACTAGCGTGCACACACACACACACACACACACACTCACAAATATTTTTTTAAAAATTTTGGCTGTGCCAGGTCTTAGTTGCGGCACACAAGGATCTTTAGCTGAGGCACGCAAGGATCTTTAGCTGCGGCATGTGGACTTCTTATTTGCGTTAAGCATGCGGGATCTAGTTCCCCAATCAGGGATTGAACCCGGGCCCCCTGCATTGGGAGCACGGAGTCTCACCCCCTGGACCACCAGGGAAGTCCCTTTTTTTTTTTAAACGTAAAAAGTAATGTCTGTATTAAGACATATATTTGGGAATTGTCCTTCTTTGTATATAGTAGTGGTAATAATTATAATACTAATTAGAGGAAACATTAAATGTAGCACTCATAACGTGCCAAGCACAGGTCTAAGTCTTTGCTTTTACTACTATGTATTAACTTCTTTGACAATAAAATAATTGTAGACATAGCAAGTAATATTAAATAGTCCTTCATTTCCTTTAATTTGTTTGTTATTGGAATTCTTGTATAGTTACATATATATCTCTTTTCTGATAGAATTTTTGAATATTTTATTTTAATGCCAAAGCATGAATTTTTAAGAAGACTTATGTTTTAGAAACTGCTACTTAAAATCCATCTTAAATTCTATTTAGACTTCTAGAGATTCATGAACATATAGTTCATTTTTCAAATGTATACTGATTGCCTTAATACTGAATATATAGCAAATGAAAATTCAGTGTATTTTTCTTAATTATTCTTATTTAAAACATCACGTATTTTAAATAAATTCAAAGGATAGAGAGAGTGAAATTTTATAATTTTCCTGATCTAGAAAAATTGTTTTCTGTTAGAAATGTCACTGTGTAATGGAACAGCCTCTCATAAAAGGGATTGGAATCTTAAGGCAGAGGTAAAGGGGAAAAATTTATAGAGTCAAAATTATTCTCAAAAATACTTTTATTTACTCTTTTCAAATAGTATATATTCTTTCTATGCATATATGTATGAATTTACAATGTATATAGTAACAGAACATATAATAAAATTTATGTCATGATAAATAAGTGTGCAAAATACAGTTTAATAGTAGTTTTACTCCTACAATTATAATACTGATAATTGAGTCACAGTTAATTCTAGTATAATATGAAGAGTTGAATTCACATGAAGTAAAATCAATGACATAACAATAGAAGAGACATAATCCCTTCTCTTCCCCTATATGTGGCTTTCTTTCTAAGGAAACATTATTGAGGTGATACTGTTGAGGGACAATAGGGATTAGATGAGAAGAATGTATTAAAAATTTTCCTTTTATTTCATTCAAAGCATTTACCTTTGATGTTGATGCCATTAATATTTAGAGAAAAAAAGAGAAAGGGGATCTCGCTAATCCCTTTAGCACACATGGGTAATGTAGTACTTCTGATTTATGTTCTTCGTGCCTCTCGTTCTGTTTCTACAGTTATGTGAAGAACTATTTGAGAAAATCAATGACAACTGTAACGAAGAAATGTCTTACTCTGTAGAGGTGCGTAAAACTGTGGGTTAGAAACAGAGTCCTCTGTGCTCCATTCCCTCAAATGCTACTTTTAAATGGTTCCTAATTATGACTGAGCTATAGATCACTTAACCATTGCCCCAATTCTGTACTTTGAGGCTATTTCTAAGTTTTGGTTATAATGGAGAATGTTGCAATTAAATCCTTGTTCATAAGTTTGTGGCTTTATTTTCAGTTATTTCCTTCTTATGTATGTTGGTTGTCAGATGATACATTTGACTGCCAAATGGCCTTTTGAAAGGCTATACCAATTTTCTATTCCATCAGGAGGGTGTAAGCACCCACTGTGTCCTCGTCAACGTTTAGTATTTTTATTTTTTAATCTTTGCCAATTTAATAAGGGAAATTTTCTCACTCTTAAAATTAGAATTTCTTTGATTAGCAGTGTGATTGAACATCTTGTAAATAATGTATATGCCTGTTTACATTTTGGGATTGCAATGTTTTTGTTATTCATTTGCATGAACTCTTCCCCCTTTAATATTATTAATAATGACTTTTGACAGGCATAGGTTTTTAAAATATATGTAATCAAATCTCTTCTTCCCTTCTCCCCTTTGTAATTATTTACAATCTTGGAAAGTTATTCTCCATTCAGTGTATATACCCTAGTTCTTTTGAGAAGAGGTCTGTAGAATTACATTATATATGTTAGTTTATTTGATAAACATTTCCACTTTTTTGTACAAGTGCTTTATGAAGCTCTTGTTTTACACATCCCCATTTTTGGTATTCAGTTTCATAGCGGCTGAAGTTATTAAAACATTCTGTTAACATGAGCTTGTTGTTTTGAGAAATCAGTCTGTTTTTTAAGTGACTTCTAGATTTTTAAAAATGTATATGTTGTGACTTTCTGTAGGTCTTATGCAATTCTTAGTTGATCCACTTAGCTGCTTTGGGTTTTTTCTTTACCTTTAAAGTGTTGTATAAATTTCAAAGAATTCTGCCTGGTAACTATGATCCACCAATAGGGGAATGTGCTGCTCTAAAAATATGTTTTGTTAAAATGAATTCTCTGAATAGCTTGTCTCATCCTATAACTATTCTTTTTTGAATATTAAATGTATAGCAAATGAAAATCAGTAGATCTTTATTAATCATTCTTATTAAAATATCATAAATTTTAAATAAATTCAAAGGATAGGGAGTGACCATGTGATTGAAGTTTTTGAGCTTATAGGTAATAAAAGAAGCTGCCATTTTCTTTCATATTATTCAGAGTTCACAGGCTTATTTGGAGTGCACAGTGTATCCCTAATCCCAATGTGAACAACAACTTTGTTGTTCTTCACATTGGTGGGACCTCTACCTCCTCTCCTGCCTCTCTCCCTTATTTACTCTGCTGCAGCCACACTGGCCTTATTTTTTTCTTTTTCTTTTTTTTTTTTTTTTTTTCTTTTTTTGGAAAACACCAGGAACATTCCTACCTCAGTGCCTTTTCATTTACATTTCTTTTGGCCTGAAATTTTCTTTCCTGGATGTCTTTTTCTTTTTCTTTTTTTTTTTTTAATATTTATTTAGTTGTGCCAGGTCTTAGTTGCAGCAGGCAGACTCCTTAGTTTCGGCAAGCAGGCTCCTTAGCTGTGGCATGCAAACTTTCAGTTGCAGCATGCGTGTGGGATCTCGTCCCCTGACCAGGGATTGAACCCGGGCCCCCTGCATTGGGATTTCAGAGTCTTTGCCACCAGGGAAGTCCCAGTATCTTTTTGACTAAGTTTTCACCTCCAAGTCTTTTGCTCAAATCATACCCTCTCAATGAGGCTTGCCATGACCACCTTATTTAATTTTGCAACTTGCCCTCTACCCCAGCACTCCTGACCTCTCCTACTCTGTTCTTCCTTTTTTTTAAATAGTATTCATCACTTCTAACCTACTTTATAATATTTTACTTATTTTTTATGTTTATTTTCAGTATCCCTTTTAGAATCATAAGCTCATTAGGGCAGGGATCTTTATTTACTGATGTATGCCAAGTGCCTATAAAGTGCGTAGAAGCTAATGGTGCTCAGGGAATTGAATTTGCCAAGTGGGGTCTATGATGGTTGGTTCAGAAGTAGTGATGTCTTTAGATGGATTTGCATATTAGAGAATAAGTAACAGAGCACATCAACCTTACTCAGGTTATTTGGGTCCTCTTAGTATCATGCCTGTGTGAAAAGGGACAGCAGGTTTCCCAAGAAAATATAATATCTTCCTGGGATTCAGGATTGTATGTACAAGTTTTAAGTACACGAGAATGATTGAAGTTGCCATTTCAATTTCTCATCTAAGATAACCTGCTTTAAGAAATAATATTCGTTGTCCTGTTGTTTTATTCTTGTAATAGGTCAATTATCTTTTGAGGGTTTTCAGTATTTTAAAAACTGATTTTAAAATACAGTATAAATATAGTCAGAGCAGAGACTGAAAGAGAATGGAATGGAGATACAGTTTTATTTCAGATGTTCTGAAAAGGTTTCTCTAGAAACTTAAACTTGAAGAATGCAGGGGTTACATTGTATTTGCTTGAGCAACTCGGAGACACAGAAGTGTTTTATTCCTAGGGAAGCGTTGTGATGAGGCTTTACTGTGGTGAATTTTTCCCACTTCAGAGCCTTGGTTGCTTAGAGGTCTGATCTTGTAGATCCTTCAAAGCCAGACTCTTGAGTGAAGCTCATCTGACTGATGTTAGGAAACCACCGTGTTGGTTTGTTACTTTCCCATGAGGAGTAAATATTACCCTGACCAGAACACTCACATTAGCAAGACTGGTATATTATCCTCCTGTGGGCAGACCTCTATTGGAACCCTGTTGTTTTTTTTGGTGAGTATGGAATTGGAGAGGAGTTGATTAGACAAATTAAATGTTCAATTGCTTCAGATGAAGAAATGATAGCCTAATACATCCCTTTCCATGATAGGAATGTTCTTGCTGATGGGGCAATAATTCCTGAAGTGTACTGTCTGTGGCTTCCCCTTTCCCCAGGGGACTTGGATAGGTCCTCCCAAACAATCAGGTTCCACACTAACCAACGCTTACCCCTTCTGATAGATACATGTTTGGTCACAATGTGGCCAGACTTAAAGTATGAGTCGCAGATCTCTTTTGTCTAACCTGCTCTGGAATATTGATGTTGTTCCTTGGTTTTAACACTAATAGAAATCTTGTTTCCAAGCTTTTGGAGTAACCTCATTGTAATCCCCAATTATTGACAACAGCATGCATTAAAAAACCCCAAAACACTAATAACTGATAAGTTACTACTAAAAATGATATTTTCTCTGCCTAAGACAAGTAGCAGCTATTGTGTGCTGAGAGAGCCTCTTTACCCCCTTTTCTTTCCTGAGAAAGTCAGAAGGCTGGTTCTAACCTACTCAGTTTTATCTGTCTTACTGGTAATAGAATAAAAGGGACTGGAATTGGTATTTCATGTTGTAAAGGTTACTGATCTCTAATTGTAGAGCTTTTAATAAAAGGTGAAAAGATAAAAAGATTTTAAAATCTTTTTAATGTATAGGATTTCTTTTTCCAAGTCCTCTAAATCACTTTAATAATATGTTCCTAGGTGAGCTACATGGAAATTTACTGTGAAAGAGTACGAGACTTGCTGAATCCAAAAAACAAGGGTAACTTGCGTGTGCGTGAACATCCACTTCTTGGCCCATATGTGGAGGATCTGTCAAAGTTGGCAGTAACTTCCTACACAGACATTGCTGACCTCATGGATGCTGGGAACAAAGCCAGGTATGGTAGGAAATAGACTGATGACTGAGGTCTTTGGTACATTTTGAGGCCTTTTGTTCCTGGTTAAGGATTTGAGACCACATTTATAACTATGAAAGTTGCTTTCACTGTGGAGTCCTCTGATCCTTTGGCTATGCTACAGAAGCAGGGTCCTCAACATATTTGGTATCCTTCTCATCCAAACAATGCACTGCTGAAACACGTTAGAACTTTAGGTTTTACTGTTAGGTTTTCATCAAGTTGTGGTAAAATGTTGGTTATCACATGCCTATGGTAGTAATTGATTTCAGAATAACTGAGCACCTAATAAAGAATAAAAATCAAATGCCTTGGTGGTTTCTAAAGGTATAGCTGGAGTCTGAAGAATGATTCTGATGGGGTGCCTTTGGAGTTGGCAGGTAACTTGATAAGTTCACAGATAAGGTATATTGAGAGCAGTTTTGTGTAAGTGACAATCTTGTAATCTGAATAAGTTTAAAGCTGTCGCTTGTGATTGTTATGCTTATAATTTGAAGGCTATTGTCATTTTAGCATTCATCTAAGGATTCCGTTGTCATGTGGTCACATTTATGTTTTTTTAGGACAGTGGCAGCTACCAACATGAATGAAACAAGTAGCCGTTCCCACGCTGTGTTTACCATTGTTTTCACCCAGAAGAAACATGATACTGAAACCAACCTCTCTACTGAGAAGGTAGGAGAACTTCAGTGTCTGAGCTTGAGTTGCGTGGAATGGGGATTTTCAGAAGTCCCTCCTGCTACCTTCTGATTTTGTGGAAGGGAAGAAAGTTGCCCTTTTACTTAATGAAGGGTATTTTATACTTTCCACTAGTCATTTTTATTCCACTCTAAACCAGTTTTGAGCATGGGTTCTTGAGTGAAATTGCAAGACAGAAAATAAGGTTAAGAAAAACAATCCAAGACTTTTGAGTCTCAAAAACTGCTCTATGCAATAGAGTTAAGCAGTTCTGTGGGGAAGAAGATCCTTCCTTTTCTTCTTGACTAGAATCTCTTAATTACCTTGTTAACTTCTCTGGTTTGTGTATTTTACTTTTTTGAGCTCTGATAATGTTACTGTGGAATTAAACTGTTTAAGCAAACAGTTAAGCAGACAAGATGTATTTTATTCTTGGGAAAAAAATAACTGCACAGCATTTCTGATGTCCGTCAAATACCTGTGCTTGTTAGTTTCTCATTTTCTACAGTGGTTGGTTAAATTTAGTACACCAGGATTAAACTGCTTGCTTTAGATCTTAGCTCTGCCATTTTTCTGCAGTGTTATGTTGGGCAAGTTAGTCTTTGTGCCTCAGTTTCTCTAACCTCATAGGATTGGTGAAGAGGAGTAAATATTAATATAGGGTAAGTGCATCTACTAGTGCCTGGCACAGAGTAGCCACTCAATAAATGTTAATTTTATTGTTATTAATAATAGACTTACGTTGATTTCTACTCTGCCTACATTCCTAAGTAGCATGCAGCTGGATTTTTAAATCTGAAGTTAGATTTATTGTCCTGGCGGTTATAAAAGACCTTGCCTTATAAACTGAGTACTTTGTGATGCTGATATCACTAAAAACTAAAATCAGCTTTTAGTTGGTGACTTGTTTGTTCATTTTAGCTGAAGATTATTTTTCAAAATACACTTTTCATATAGATGATCAAATAACTTGACACTGCCTAGCCAGAGGTTGTATATTAATGTTATTTAGTAGTCAGTATTTGTCTGAATGGCCCAAGGAACATGTTATGTGAAAGAATTTTTTCTTTTCTTCCCTGATGTTAAATCTACAAAAATAATGACATTAACCCATAACCATAGCTTCCTTGATCATCTGTTTTGGATACTTTTCTGTAAACTTTCCTGAAGCTTTAAAAAAATTTTTTAAACAACTTTATTGAGGTGTTATTGAAGTGCAACAAACAACACATATTTAGAGTATAAAATTGGATCACATATATATACAGTAGTCCCACCCTTTATCTGCCGGAGATAACATTCCAAGACCCGCAGTGAATGCCTGAAACTGCAGATAGTGTCAAACCTTATATATACTGTTTTTTTCCCATACATTTATATTTAGGATAAAGTTTAATTTATAAATTAGGCACAGTAAGAGATTAATGACAATAATAAAATAGAACAATTACAATAATATACTGTGATATTGATATGTGAATGTAGTCTCTCTCACTCTCAGAATATCTTATTGTACAAATTTAGTGCCTTTTCCATCTTAACTAAGCAGTTATCACACACTGTGGCCATTACTTTTGCAGCCTGAAGTGCAACAGCAAAACTAGCATGGATTTCTTTTTCCCTCTTCACAATTTCATGAATAGAAGATTCATTGTTACCGTAGATATTAGCAACCTCAGCATACACTTAAAGGAAGCACTTTATGGCTTCTCTTTGGCATATCCGAATTACCAGCATTACTACTCTTGCGCTTTGGGGCCATTTTTAAGTAAAATAAGGGACACTTGGACACCAGCACTGTGATACCACAACAATTGGTCTGATAACTGAGCCAGCTACTAAATGACTAAGTATGGGATATGCTGGACAAAGGGATGATCACATCCCAGGCATGGACCGGGACAGAGCGAGATTTTATCATGCTGCTTAGAATGACACACAGTTTAAAACCTGTGAATTGTTCATTTCTGGAATTTTCTGGAATTTAATATTTTCTGACTGCCGTTGACCATGGGTAACTGAAACTGTGGAAAGTGAAACGGTGGATAAGGGGGGACTACCTGTACACCTGTAAAACCAGTACCACAATTCAGATAATGAAAATTTCTGTTACTCCCAAAAGTTGCCTTATGTCCCTTCGTAATCTCTTCCACTCTCATCCTCAGGCAATCCCTGATTTGATTTCTGTCACTATAGATTAGTTAACACTTTCCAGAATTTTGTATAAGTAGAATCATATAGTATGTACTATTTTCTGCCATCTTCTTTCAGCTTAGCATAATGATTTAGAGATTCATCTGTATTGTTGTGTGTATCCATAGTTCACTCATTTTCATTGCTGATCAGTATTCCATTGTATAGATAGATCACAGTTTGCGCATTACCTCATCTCTTGATGGTCATTTAAATGAACAGTTTTTGATCATTACAGATGAAGATGCCGTGAACATTTGTATACAGGTCTTTGTGTGCATACTTGCTTTTTGTTTCTCTTGGTAAATACCTAGGAGTAGGGGACTTCCATGGTGGTCCAGTGGTTAAGAATCCACGCTTCTACTGCAGGGGGTGCGGGTTCAATCCCTGGTCGGCGAACTAAGATCCTGTATGCCACACGGTATGGCCAAAAAAAAAAAAAAAAAAAAAAAAAAAAAAAAAAAAAGAATAAAAAACAACAACAAAAGATACCTAGGAGTAGGATGGTTGAGTCTTACGGTAGGTGTACATTTAGTTTCTTAAGAATCTGCCAAACTGCTTTCAAAAGTGATTGTAAAATTTTACATTCCCATCAGTAGTGTGTGAGAGTTCCAGTTGTTAGAAGCTTCATTTTTAATATGCCATTTAATGGGTTAATGAGTTTTATACATTTTTATGACATATCATTTTAAAATGTGTTTATCCTAAAATTACTTCTTTTAAACCAAGATAATTGATATGAAAATTTTTTGCATGCTCTTTATTTTTTATTTTTTTATTTTTTTGTGGTACGCGGGCCTCTCACTGTCGTGGCCTCTCCCATTGCGGAGCACAGGCTCCGGACACGCAGGCTCAGCGGCCATGGCTCACGGGCCCAGCCGCTCCGCGGCATGTGGGACCCTCCCGGACCGGGGAACGAACCCGTGTCCCCTGCATCGGCAGGAGGGCTCTCAACCACTGTGCCACCAGGGAAGCCCCTGCATGCTCTTTAAATTGACTACAGTATGTTTGTCTTCTTATGCCACGTATGAGGTCTAATTAATATTTTTAGTGTTCTCTATGACTTAATCTTTTAATTTCTTGCCTCTAAATGTTTTCTGCTTCTATGTTGCTTATTTTTTAATTGCCCCAGTGTTATTGTTCTTTACCAGGTCAGTAAAATCAGCTTGGTGGATCTAGCGGGAAGTGAACGAGCTGATTCAACTGGTGCCAAAGGGACTCGATTAAAGGTATTTATCTTACCAAACAAATAGCCTAGTCAATAAATGTTCTTTGGGAATTCCCTGGTGGTCCAGTGGTTAGGACTCATCACTTTCACTGCTGAGGGTGCGGGTTCAATCCCTGGTCGGGGAACTAAGATCCCGTAAGCTGTGCAGCGCGGCCAAAAAAAAAAGGTTCCCTAACACAGGTCAGCAAACTATGGCCAGTAGGCCAAATCTGGCCCACTGCCTGTTTTTGTAAATAAAATTTTATTGGGACACAGCTACATCTATTTGTGTATTGTCTGTGGCTGCTTTCGTGCTATAGTGATAGGGTTGAGAAGTTGCAGCAGAGACCACATGGCCCACAAAACCTTTTACAGAAAAAATTTTCTGTCTTCTGATCTGTAACTTCAATGCAAAGATATGTTACATGATAATAGTTAAGGTGGACTTCATGGTCAAGGTGAAAATTGGATTGTATTTTGAGGAACAGTCAGAATTTGGTTAGATGGAAGTAAGGGACAGTAATGGGAAAAGAATACACAAGATCTAGATGTGAGAACAAGCATGGAGTTTTCTAGAGATATGCTTAACAGGAGGAGAAATTTCATGTCGTTGAGCTGTCGGAAGAAGGCTGCATCTGTAAGTTTTGGGAGCATAGACATCTTGACGATACTTCAGGACTGTGAGTTAGGCATGTGGTCCTGGCATGTCAACAAGTGGAGAGGAGTAAAGATTGAGGGTTAAAGGAGGTTTTTAGAACTTGTGGTCAGAAATAAACAAATAATGCTAGCATATGGTTAATTGTATTTTATGTGTTATATATGATGTGGCAATAGTAGAAATTATCATAATTCTTTTATGTTTGGTGTTGATTTCAGGAAGGAGCAAATATTAATAAATCTCTTACAACTCTGGGTAAAGTCATTTCAGCCTTGGCAGAGGTGGTAAGTGTTATACTTCATTGCATGAGAAAATTTGTTCAACACATGTACTTGACGATATTTTATGGTGGCTTATGAAGGATGTTCTCTTGGTCCTTTTATATAATCTTGGCTTTCTCCTTTTAAAGCTTTACAGATAAGATACTGGGTATAACACACTTTGACTTTGTACTGAAAATAAAAGTGATTAAGGAGAATGAAAGTAAATGTAGATCTGTAAAGGCTAGAATTAAAACTAGGTCTTTGCAAAGACCTAAGGTTTGACTATTTGAGCCTTGTTTTATACCTCTCATAAAAACCAAGTGTAGCATTTATTACATATTCTTTTCTATATGATCTTTTCTAGATAGGATACTGTACATTTTAGAGTATTTTGAGCAATTTGCCTTGGTGAATGCTGTTGATTTGTGGGCCAATAATATACTTTTAAAACTAGTTTTATTTTTTCTTATTCCTTAGCTGTGGAACACTAAAGCTGAAACAATTTTTGTATAAGGGGCTTCATTATTTAGGTTAGAAGCTAAGGAACTACTAGGTACTGTGTGCTTTAATTTAGTTTAGTACCTCATTTGAATGCCTAAAAAGAATTAAATGTTTTCTTGCTTGTCTCTGAGAAGTCATATTCAATTTATGGCTTAAAATTTAAACAAAATACGTCCTATTTGGAGGCTTATCCTGTGTTTTCATTCTCTTTTAAATGCTTTCATCTGTAGGATAATTGCACCAGCAAGGTATGGTGGGGCTTGGTAGAAATGAACTAGCTGTATAATCAGTTGTGATGATTTTAAATCCTCAGCAGGATATATGGAGGCCTAAGTAGAAATGGGACCTTCAAAAAACTTTTTGTTATTTATTTTCTAGCTCTGGAATTTAGAATTGCTGTTTAGGGTGACCATGAATCATGAGACTACACACCAAAATTAATTTAGGGAACATGATGTGCTTTGGAGAATGAATAAGGGAACAAGAGAGAAATTTGAGGATGCTTCTATATTGTGTTATCTTATGGTGCTTCTCCTAGCGATCTATAAGATTGTCACTTGAAGAAGTCGCCTATAAACCTCTTAAAGAGCAATCAAAGAAATTTCTTATGGGTACCATTCTAAAACATAGCTGGGGGGCTTCCCTGGTGGCACAGTGGTTGAGAGTCCGCCTGCCGATGCAGGGGACACGGGTTCATGCCCCGGTCCGGGAAGATCCCACGTGGGCCCGTGAGCCATGGTCGCTGAGCCTGCGCGTCCGGAGCCTGGGCTCCGCAATGGGAGAGGCCACAACAGTGAGAGGCCCGCGTACCGCAAAAAAAAAACATAGCTGGCTTCTTGAAATTATTGGTATATATTTTTTAAACCTCTTTGTATTATCTTGTTTCCTACCATGGAAAGTCATGGATTATTTAATCATTAAAAAAATTTTTTTCTACTGTTTGATTATACATAAAGTGAAGGCTCTAGAATCAAGTTAAATTTCTAACTGTATCTACAAAACACATTATTTGCATCCTTATTAATCCAGATACAATAGATTTTTCTTTTCCTTAAATTCTACACAGATATTCTAAAATTTATTACTACTCTTTAGCATAAATAATAGAGCACTTTAACAGTTTGTTCTGAATCACAAGAGTAACATCAGGGATAGAGGCAGTGTCTGCATTGAAATATTTTTAAATGTATAGATTTGTGTATTCTCTACTTCTACAAAAATATTAATAAAACATAATGCTCTTTTTCTGATTTTTCTCTTTTTTTTTTTTTTTTTTTTTTTTTTTTTTTTTTTTTTTTTGCTGCGTTGAGTCTTCATTGCTTCGCGTGGGCGTTCTCTAGCTGTGGCGAGCGGGGGCTACTCTTCATTGCAGTGCGTGGGCTTCTCATTGCAGTGGCTTCTCTTGTTGCAGAGCACGGACTCTAGGCGCATGGGCTTCAGTAGTTGTGACTCGTGGGCCCTAGAGCGCAGGCTCAGTAGTTGTGGCGCACAGGCTTAGGTGCTCCACGGCATGTGGGATCCTCCCTGGCCAGGGCCCGAACCCGTGTCCCCTGCATTGGCAGGCGGATTCATAACCTCTGCGCCACCAGAAGTCCCTGTTTTCTGTTTTTTATTTTTGTAAAGCTGCCTTAGATTAAGACATCTCTCTTATTTGATATTATACATGTGTGGATATTCTTCACATATCTAATCTGGGTCCCAGAACAATGAAGACTTAAAATTTAGTGATTATTCTAACTTGTCCATTTGCTTATCTGTTAACATCCATATCAACCAGAAGAAGGGTCCTCGTTTTCTATGTATTTCCCACACTGCTCTATGCCACAAAATTTTGCAAATGATTTTTTTTTTTTTTTTTTTTTTTTTTTTTTACGGTACGCGGGCCTCTCACTGTTGTGGCCTTTCCCATTGTGGAGCACAGGCTCGGACGCGCAGGCTGAGCGGCCATGGCGCACAGGCCCCGCCGCTCCGCGGCACGTGGGATCCTCCCGGACCGGGGCACGAACCCGTGTCCCCTGCATCGGCAGGCGGACTCTCAACCACTGCGCCACCAGGGAAGCCCTGCGTTGGTGCTTTTTGCTTTATCCTGTGATAATGAGAAGGGACATGGAGAGAGCAGTACAAGTAAACTATTCTTTTTTAAATTTTTATTGGAGTATAGTTGATTTACAGTGTTATATTAGTTTCAGGTGTACAGCAAACAAGTAAACTCTTGATAAATATAGAAACTTTATCTTGCAGTCTTTTTAAATCTCCAGATTAGCAAATTACATCACTTTCTTAGACCTTTTCACTTTGAGTACGAATTCTAATGGTTGGATTTATTTTGAACATAATTTCCTTTTAAAGAAACCAAACGTGTATTAATATACAAGAGTTACTAGATATGCAATATATCCCACTTGCTGATTTGGTGGCTGGCCAAGTAAATTCATTAACTAAATGAGTTGTTCCCACACATCCAACCTGGAACACACAGGATTCATCTTTGCTCCTCTGCAAAAGTAAGAATTATTATTTGAGGATCGGGTATTAGATGATATTAAGGAATTACTGTTAATTTTGCTAAGTGTGAGAATGGTCTTATAGTTACGTTTTCTTTTTTTATAAAGTCCTTCTCTGTTAGAGATATGCACCTGAAGTATATTTAGGTAGAATGTTGGATTTGCTTTAGAGCCCTACA